TATGTAAATCATGAAAAAGAGGATGCTGACTGCTTAGCTTTGTCGACCATTCTTCAATGTTTGCTCTTGTTTTTGGCTATTTATTTCATAATACTATATCTATAAAATTTTTTGATATCAAATTTGAGATAATTTCAATTTCTTCAATATCATCATTGTCATTAATTTTTAAGTTTTGCTCTGTAGTATATTGTTTGCAAAGACTTGAATATAATAAAATGTCTGGAGAAATATATGATAATTTATTTATAGTTGTTGGAAAATAGTAATCTTTGCTACCATCAAATAAGTGAGTTAATGCAAATGAGGTATTATATCACCGAAGGAGATCTAGTTCAATATTTTTGTAATTAGTATGTGTACCATATTTTTGTATGTTCTGTGTACTATTTCTTTGACTCCAACAGATGTGTTTACAAGAGTTGCAAATGTACAAGCATGTTGTGGCAAATAGATATTTATATGAACATTAGGTAAGTTTTCAAATATGTCTGGAAAAATCTTCAAAAAACCAATTTGTTCTTTTTTAAACAAACCACGAAGCTTCTTATAAGTATCATTTGTCATTGTTGTTGAGAAAGCCAACTTAAGTAGTTTTGCTTCTACTACCCAAAGTTCTATTAGTTTAATAATAGTATAATCATTACAAGTAAGCTTATATACATTTTTTAAATGTTCAATTATTTCAGCCTTTAAATGTAAAGGTGATAAAAAGTAACGTAGAATAAATGGTATTAATATTGCCAGGCGTAAAGTATCTGAAAATGTAAAACTATGATAATGGGTTAGCGGATTTGGTATCCGTGACCATCTTGCTGATTTTTTGATGCCTTTCCAATATTTAAGCCAAGCTACTTTCTATTAGTATTTAAATATTTAAGAGTTATATCTAGAAGATGTGTAGCTTTACCAGCAAGTGTATAATAAGCATCTTGCGATGATTGTAAATGTCTGTCTCAATAAAGAGTATCAAGAACTGGCTTTGCACTAAGTCTATATTGACTAGATAGTTGTTGATGAGCAGAGTTTGTTTGTTGCTATGCAATTTCATTATATTGTATATTGGTTAAGTGGTGAAAGCGTGTATTTGCAACAAAGTCAAAGTTGGAGTTTGTTAATTAGCTACTAGATACAAAACAAGTTCTGCAACCATAATTTGCACTATATCTAAGCATACCAGCAAGGTTATTACCTTGAGACAAATTAGCTGTAATACAGCCAAGTCTACCAATAAGCCATATTTCTCCTTCCAAAGTATTTATAATTTTTCTAGATTGTAATTGGTGAATATTATCAAGAATTGGTTTAATAAAATCTATAAATGAAACCCCAAATAGAACAAAGCCAAGTAGAAAATGATTTTTGAGTAGCTTTCGTAAATCAAGTGGCATATTTCCAATAACTAAATAAACTCCTCCTAATGAATGATATGAATTACAAAATTTTCCAAAATTATCGAAGTAGATATTAAGAAAAACCTTTTTAATAAGCATTGGTTATGTGGTAATAGGTATATATTTATAAGAAGCTCTGTGCCTTTTAGTAAGATCATGAATATGCCATCTACTATTAAAACTATATAATATTTCAATTACAAAATATTCATATTCTACTGGCCTTTCAAGATCCTTTAACCAAACATTAATTTGAGTAATATTTTCAGATATAATCAAATACTCTTGTTCTTCAACAAGCCAAAGTTCTTCTATATTCATTCTATATGCTTTTTTATTCATACTACACAAGTGTCTAGAAAGCTCACTATATAGAACAAGCAGATCAGCTCTGAGTAATTGCCTCTTATTAACTTCAACAATACTATGAATACATGCAAACTTAATTGCTTTGTCTTGGTGATAACGTAAAAAATTGCCTGCTTGATAAGTAACTAATAAAAAAAAGACTAATTAGTATGGTAAACCAGAGTATTAAGTTTTATTATTGCTAAAATAAAAAAAACTACTAACCATTATTTACACAAAGTTTAGTTTCTCCAAATAAAGACGAGTCCTGCCAGAGTGTACTATACCAGAACTCATATTTTTCATCACATACAAAGTATAAATTAGGTGCAATTGTTGGATTATTAAGAATATATTCAATATAATCTACTGGCATTATTGAATATACAGGTTTAGT